GAGTGCCGCACGGTGGTCATCACACAGCCAGCCGGCCGGAACTATCCTCTACCTCTGGACTCATGAGACCAGGTTAGGGACTCACTCAATCGTGATCATTCACTTTGAGATAGACATGGTTACTAACCTGCTATCTCCTGACTTAAACGCCCACCCTGAATTCTGTTTTTCAATAAAGGTTCTGAGATCTAGCTGCTTGTCCACCTTTAATAATGGATCGTTTAATTCTAAGCTTGACAAATGAATTACATTCAAGGACTTCTTGTTTATTAAACCACTGTACAAGTGAAAAGTTGAACCATTCCTGCTATATAAAGGTGAAACCTTATACTTCCACTAGTGTTAATTCATCTAAACCTTCCATCACAATATGTACAGTACAGACATCCCTTTCTGAGGCTCTATTTTTTTTTGGCAACAAATTTCTATGATGACTTTCAGGTGGAAAATATTAGTTACCATCTGCTGCATAACTGCCAAACCACCGAAGCAGGCAATCCCTCATTGGTCTGTGAAACTCAGATCTTTGAGAGAAACAGAATATTATATATTTACTATAAGCCAAAAAAATAAATAAATGTTTGCTTAAATATACAAATGAAAATGAATAGGGAATTACATTTTAAATTGCATTCCTTAAATAAATCTAGATTACTAATATAGTCTTCCAGAGACGTTACTATTTAGAACACTTTACATATGCTGCACATTATTTTTCTCCAGAAATATTATGTGATTTTGTTATGCTGTATAAAACAAGAAGGGGTTTAGATATTTTTTGTTGTAAAGTGTCATAAAACCCAGAATGTAGGACCCAGTATTCAGGCAAGACAGACAGTGGGAAATTTAAAAACGTTAAATGAAAGTAAAAAGAACAGAAAGCGAACTGTGGATATGCAGCAGCTGCAAGGGGGAGGCAGGGGGACCACCGATCACAGACCCTGTGGTTTAATGGTTCAGTCAATCCTCTCCCAGTAAGGCAGGATTGAGCCAATGGATTGCCAACGAGATGTGGCGGTAGCCACCCAGAGTGTCCCTGATAAGGCAGCCTCAGTGAACAGCCAGAATTTTGAGCCAGGTAAGGGAAAACAGTTTAGAACAAGATGGTTCTGAAATCCAGGAGTCTGTAGCCCGGTCAGGGGTTCCAAACAGAAACAGGAACAAACAGACACAGTGTTCCAGGAATTCAAGGAGCATACAGGCAGGTTTAGGGCTCCATGAGTCCAGCACAGAGTTCTGGGAGACACGCTCAGATGCAAAAAAGGCTGGCACAGCAGTTTTAGAGGCACAGACATGACACAACAGCAGGAAAACTGCAAATCTTTAATCTGGCTCCCTCCACTGAGCCAAAAAAGGAACAAGGAATGCTCAGTGGATAACAGCCAGGACTAAAGAGCTTTAACCTATCTCCCCCCCACCGAGCCAAAACTCGTACAGGGCACGCTTAGTTGGCAAGAGCCAGGACACTATCAGAAAACACTAGGCAAGACAAAAACCCTCTCTACCACTGGACTCTGAGAACGAAAACATGAACCTTGGAACAAGGTCTAACTCAAACTAACGAACAAGCACCATCAATGATCTGGCCCTGATAGCCGGGCTGAGCCGGAATATAAAGCAGCAGGAGTAGGTTGATTAGATGAATGATGATTAGCAACCGGGGAGGGTTAGGCAGGTGAGTGAAATTAACAGTTAGGTCAGCTTTCATGTCCACGTAAAGTGGCAGAGGGAAGTTGTCATAAACCTGCATGGAAATCTGAACAAAAAAGCATAGCTTCAGGGCAGGTATGTCAAAGTTTCTTGACTCGATGCATGTACAAATCTCTGCAAGTTTAATATACAAAAAGAAGCACTTAATTGTCCAAATTAAGAGGTAAAACCAAAATGCTATTGTCAGAAATGTTGGAGACCACAGTAGACCGTGTGGTTTAGGAGCTCCTTCCAATCCCTGTGGGAAGAAAAGAATTTAAAGAATGTAGAAGCTGGGAAATACGTGCTTAAGCATTTGTGTTTCATTTGATGCCTTCCAACACGGTGGCAAGACTATGCCTTTCTTTTAGTTTAAAAAGGCAAGGCCAGCATCGGGAGTACTCTCCTTTTTTTCATTATTGGAACTTTAACTCTGCTGCAAAATGTTATTTTCCCCACTGTAATGAGTTCCCCATCCAAACTGTAGGATAGGGAAAAGGAAATGCAGAGGAAGTGATTATGCAAAACACTTGCCTGACTTGGTGAATTAATGAGTAAGCAGGCAGGAAAGAAAAATATTTTTTAGTGCCGAGACAAAAAATTTAAATATCAAGAAGTTTGACTCAGGACACACAAAATTAATTAGTTTTGACACCTTGAAGACCATAAAGAATCTAAGGACACTAGACAGCTGTCTTTTCTTTTTTTTAATGCGAATCACCTTAATTAACCACACAAGCGATCTCTGGGATTCCCACAGATTACTAATGAACTTTAAAAGG